GTGTTCATGGTTTATACCGCAGCTTCATGGTTTAAACTCTCAGTGACCAGCTGGCTGCCCCTGGGTTTGCACTGGCCTCTTGCCATCCTCTGGCAGGGACATTCCTTAGGAAGCAGACATTCTCTCCCATGCACTGTGGTGTCCTGCTCCCTGGACAGGGCTCTTGGACAGCACAGAGTGCTCAGTGAGCAGACCCTGAAATGTGGGGGACACACGGTCCTCCTCCCGCTCTGGCTACTGTTTGGAGATAACTGAGCCTGGGTACCACTGCCCCCTCATGAGGTACCCTCACAAGGACACGTGTGTCCCTGCCAACAGTGTGGCCTGGCTTCCAGAGGTCAGGGCAGCTGGGGTGCAGTCAGTCCCAGCTGGGTATAACTGGCTCTGGGAGCAGTGACCTGCCCCTCTGCTAGAGCTTGCTGCTCAACCCAGGACCCCGGGTCTCCTGCTGACCATGCTTCTGGCTGCTAGCCACTGGGCAGGCACCTGTGCCCACCATCCCATTCTCTTCCTCCATGAGAATGTAGGACCCAGTCACAGCTGGACCCTCCTCTGCTGCCCCTGTACTCTGGGACCTGCTGGCCAGGGGTCATGGGATGTCTGGGTCTGCAGAGGACTCAGCCCTGCAGAGGCCAGCTGTGGAGCAGAGCCCGCCCACTACACCTGGACCTCACCACAGACCAGGGTGCGAATACATCACGGCTGCACCACTCCTCAGGCCTGTTCCCCGCTGGGAGGGCCTGGTCCCCTCTTTGTCCACACCTGGGACACGTACACCCCTGCTCTTCATGAATCCCAGTCTTGGTGGATGAGCTTCCTTCCCATGACACCCCTTGCTCCATAGGGGCGCTGCCCACCTCCGAGATGGCCTGAGACCCCTTGTGCAGCCCCTCCTTCTCTGGGCTTTGGGCAGCTTGGCCTGACCTCCAGCCTCAGTGCATTGCCTGAGGTTGGGTCCTTCCTGGGGTCTTCCCAGGCCCTATGCTGGGGCTGCTGGCTGCTCTGGCATGAGGAGACACACACCCGAGGGGAACTCTGGGTGCTGCCAGAGGCCTGGTGTTGGGAGCTCTAGTGCTGCCCGCTTGGCGAGCTCTGGGTGCCATGGGAGCTGTGTGTTTTAATCAAATGTAGCGACTGAGCTCGGAGGGAAACTCAATCACGTGTTAGAAGAGGTCCCCTCTGCCACCCGGCCGATGGGGTTTCACTTACAGTTTACTGATGGCCTGGCTTCCTCCCGGGCAGTAGGGGTAACAGCAGGTGGCTGGAGACCGGGATCCTGCGCAGCCACCAGAGCCAAGGCCTGCTTCTACCTTAGCACAGGTGGGGCTCCCCACAGGTGTGGCCCCACCCTTGTGGTCTCGCCATGGGAAGGGACTTCTCGTGGTCCTGGCTAGGCCGAGGGCACATGGAAATCCCACCAGACGCTGGCTCTGGGCAGTGGGTGCTGTTCACTTCCCTGGCGGACAGGACATCGTTTCTGGATCTTCCATTTGTCCCCTGTACCTCTGGGCTGCCACACCATATCCACTCTGGCCTAAAACTCCTGCCATGGCCGTCCACAGAAGGAAGCCCTCTGGCTCACAGGCTTCCTTTCTCAGCTGTCCCCGTGATCCCTATTTGTCCCCACCTACTCGGACCCCAGCCAGTCTAGCTCCAGCCCCAGTGCGCCCTCCAGGGCTGGGGGCTTCCTGACTGACTGGTGACTGGCAGCCGCACACACCTAGGTGCCTATAGGTTCCCTTTTCCCAGAAACCCCCCCAGCCTGAGCCTGGCAGTTGGGGTGTGCTGAGCCTGAGGGCCTGCGGAGATGGCAGGGTGCACTGAGGAGACCTGGGTGCCCAGGCACGGTGGGAGGGGGCTGCAGGGAGATCCCCCACAAGAAGACTGCTGTAGGCCAGGGGCGAAGGGCCAGAGGCGTGGGGGGGAGGCCTGCAGCCTCCGTGGGCCCAACAGCACCTGCCGCTCGTGTCCTTGTCCACGTGTTTTAAAACCTCTCCTGACTTCCAAAGGTCAGTGTTGTGCAGAGCCGGGCACGGTGTTTGCTCAGATGTGGCTGATGGGGAGCCGCCACCCCGTCTCAGAAGATGTTTTGTGCACAGCTCAGCCTGTGCTGGGCCAAGAGAAGCCAGGCATGATGGCACTGTTCGGAGCAGACAGAGAGCCACTACAGTGTGATTGAGTCCTGTCTAACTGGGCAAATGGCCTAGAGCTGGGCAGTGGGTGCTGGGTGCTGTGCTAATGCCTGGGTCTTACAGCAGTGAGTGCTGGTCTCAGTGACTTTCAACTGTCCACAGTGGCTGTGCACCCTTCATCCCCACCAGGACCACACAGGGGACCGAGTCTGCACTTCACAGTGCTGGCCATGAACTCATCCACCCAGCCGCCACCATCTACCACCATGGTCATCTGTCATTTGCCTGTCACTGCCACCCCCGCCTCATCCACCCGTCATCCATCGTCCATCAACCAGTCACACCTTTGTGTCTCCACCTCATCTGTCTATGCATGTGTGCATGGGTCGTGCCTGTGTCTGTGCTGCAACTCTCACCTGTGGACCCTCATGTCTGAGTGTCTGCCTGCATCCAGATGTGCCTCGCTGTCCCCTGCATGTGCACCGATGTCTACAGTGTGTCTGTACATATTCACTGAAGCACGGTTGTGTCCGGAGCTGTGGGCCAGAGAGACTGAGACGAGAATGTCTGGTCTCGGATCTTCTCTCAGAGCAGCAGGAAGTGGAGCCCAGTGGGTCTGATTGTGGGAGGGGGGTTCTCAGGGCCTTCAGGCTCCGTGGCCAAGTTCCTGGAGTCAAGCTGGAGACTTCCAGATCCCCCAGGGTTCATGCAGGGCCAGTGGGCAGAGAATGCTCTGATGTGGTGTGGTTTTGCCCTGGGCTGACCTCGGGCCGTGGTGGTGTCCAGCTACACCTCTGGCAGACCTGGGGCCATGGTGGTATCCAGCTACACCTTTCTGCTCTGTGTGGGATGTGAAGCCTCGGGCTATGCCTAACATGGGAAACAGGAAGAGTGATGGGTGTGGTTGGCTTTGTGGTGGACCAGCAGGCCTGGCCTTGTCAGAGGCTGGCTAGAGTCTGAGTTTCAATAGCCTCCATATGGTGGCAGCAGGGAGGGGAGTAGTCAGGAGCTGGCCACTGACCTTCAGGAAAGGCAGGCCGCCCTCCATGGGCATCACAGGGTGGGCACTGTCTGCCAAGAGTCTCCCACCTGAGCCACACTCCTTCCCAGTGCTGGCCTGGTGCCCCTCCTGGAGAGTCCCTGAGGCACAGGGTCACGGGAGTGGCCAATGAGTCCTGAAGTGGGCCTGCCAGGACACTGCCCAGGTGGCTATGGTGTGACCTCCAGTCTGTTGGGAAGACTGACTGCCCTGGCTGCCCCCCACCTGCCCTAGTGGCTCTGGGCCATCGGGGGTGGGGTCTGGGCCTGCAGAGGACCATGTGGAGGACAGGCCACCCTCCCTGAGGTGCTGCCCACCCTTCCCGTGTCTAAGGTACACCCAGGGCCATGGGCTCTGCCTGCCCTGGCCAGGTGGGGGCCTCTGGCTGACTGATGTCCTCCCAGCCCAAGGGGGAGCCCCCAGACCAGCATGGTGGTCACTGAGCCCAGTGGACCCAAGCCCACTATGGGGAGCCCTGCCCTAGAGCGGTCTGCAGTTAAGCCCTCTTCCTCCCTCTGAGCGATGCCTGGGAACAAGTTCCACTGGGGCAGGACTCAAGGCCCACTGGTTCTGTGCGTGTCCTGGCTCTGATGACTCCCATTTATAAAGCACCTCACTCTTGGCTGCCAGAGCTATCCAAGCAGCTGTTCATGGGCCTTGGAGCTCCAGGGCTTCTTAATGATGCAGTGATTTCCTCCAGCTCTTCGCCACCCTCCCTTAGGCCCCATGGGATTCCATAGTCCATGGTGGAGTGTCGCAGGGGTCACTTCCCAGACCAAGAGCTGACCAGAAAATACCTCAGTGGTGGTGCCCACCCACAAGGGGTTCTGCCTGAGATCTGTGTGGATGCGGCCTCCTGCTCCAGGGGAGTGGGGCTGTCCCTGGATCTGGCCCTTGAGCCCACCTCATCCTGCCCGGGTGGTGGAGTCCCTCCATCTCTCTTGTACCTGATCAGTCCTTCTCATGCTGATGCAGCCGTGTTTGTCCCTGGGCAGGGAATGGGCTTGGGGGGCAGCTGTGGTTTTGCCCTGGGCAGGAAGGGGAGCCCCTGGGGACCCAGCAGGCACCTGGAGGGGCGGGAGACACCTCAGTGTGGCAGAAGGCAGGAGCCTGGGATCCTGGGCACACAGCAGGGTTCTGGCCCCCCTCGGGCCTCAGCCGGGCCTGCTGGTGACCACCCGCGAGGCCTAGAGCCATCTACTTCAGTGGCACTGTGGGCACACAGCAGGATAGGCATGCACGGGCAGGGGTGCAGCCTCAGCCTCTGCCCTGGGGAGCAGGGTCAGGCTGCCCGGCCACAGGGTGAATCCACTGTGGAGGTGGTGCTGCGATCCCCTGCCTCCAGTGCTGTGGCACTACTGCTCCTCTGGGCTGTTTCCTCTCCCCCACTTGATGGTCTCCAGGCCATTGCTGTGCAGTTCCTCTCCAGGGGACCACCTGGCCCCTGTGGTATCAGGCCCAGATGGTGGCAGGGGGGCCTGGGGGCCTCCAGGCTTTGCCAGGTGCCAAGGCTCTGGGGAGCAGGGAGGACATCAACTGGGAAGGGAGGGGTGGTCATTTCCCAGCTGCCCTGGGCCCGTCTCAAGGAGGTCACTCCCAAGCCCCTTGTGCAGACTTCCTGGGATGGGGCAGGTCCAGAGAGGAGACCCCCGGGACCTTCTGACCTGGGCTCGGGGCCCTGCAGGTGTGTGGCCTGGGGCAGCAGCCGCACCCAGGACTTAGGTTGTCACCTTAGTGGGAAGAGTGGGATGGCCTCCTGGGCAGCGGCTCCAAGGGCAGAGTCCACATGTCCCCTGGGCCCAGGCTGTTTTCCACTCCAGCCAGGAAGCGGCGCTCTGCCCCCAGCAGGCTGTGTCCCACACTTTCCCCAGCACAGTGACTGCAATGTGTGTGGCCTGGACTTTGTGGTCCCACCCTGGGCTGCTCTGAGCTCTGTGAGCAGGGACCTGCTGGTGGTTGGTCTGTGGGAAGAACAAGCGGAGTGTGAACACCCCTCAGCCCCCACCTGTTGCGGAGGAGGAGACAGGGCCCAGAGAGGTCAGTGGCTGGCGCAGTTGCACACAGCAGGAGGGTCCGTGGGTGGCCTGTGAGGTGCTCCCTTGGGTGTGCACTGCTGGGGACCACCTGGGTGCAGGTCCACTGCCTCCTGCCTGGAGGGAGACTCTTGCATGTCTCATTGTTGGTGACGGCAAGACTGGTTACCTGGAAGTGACCTGTGGGCTTCTCCACCATAAAGGGGCCCCCCTTGGCACTGAGAAGCCACCTGTGGGCGATGCTGGAGGCCCTGCGTGTCCTGTCCCCAGCGGCCTTCCTCACCAGCTCTGCACTACAGGCCTGGACGGCCTGGGAGTCAGTGGGTGCAGAGCTGGGTTCTCTCACCTGACCTTCTCTTCTTGACCCAGGAATTCTGTGGGATTCAACGTGGCTCTCCTCTGCCCTTGTCCTTATGGGACAGCCCAGCTCAGCCTTGCCCCTGAGGAGCCCAGCACTCACTTCCGGGCTGTCCTGTGTTCACAGGGTCACCCTGCCTGCCCGAGGGTGGAAGCAGGGCTCTAGGAAGCCTCTCACACATCAGGGCAGGGGGAGGACACGGGGCCCAGAGAACAGGGGAGGAGAGGGTCACCGGCCTTTGAAGGCACTGTCCTCAACGCCCCTGGGCTATTTGGCGAGGCGTCCTCCAGGGTGACTCTCCTGGTCAGTCCCCACCTGGTGCCATGTCCCGCTCACTGGAGCAGGTAGGTGGCCTGGGACTTCTCCCCTGAGCCTCTGGCTGCTCCCTAGGCCACAGGCAGCCTCTGGTCCCTCAGAGCCCCTGGGAGAGAACATGACCTCCTTTCCTGCTTGTGGAGGAGCCTCAGCCTGGGCTCCGGCCTCCCACCCCTCAAGCCAGCCATGGCCCCCCAAGCTGTTCCTCTGACCTCTGCCTCCACGAGGCCGCAAGTCCCTCCCTGTCAGACTCCGACCCTTCAGCCTTCGTGCGCTACTCTTATGGATAAATCCACGGTCCAGCAGGCTGTCCACACAGTGTCCCCCTTTCACACCTGCAGAGGCCCCCAGGGACAGTTCCCACCCAAAGCTCAGGTAGGCACTGGCCGCCTTTTCTCCCTCAGGGACTGACGCACACGTGGAGGCGGAGGACCCGGGCACTGTCCGCCTGGCGCCTGGGGCGGGCAGATCTCCGCTCTTACTGTAAGTAAGGGTAACGGTTCCCAGAGCAACTGCAGCTCGTCTTCTGGGATTTACAGGAAATCAAATGAGCAGTTTCCAGAAGGGGCTGAGACTGTGAGGGCTGGTGAGCAGGAGAGCACCCAGCGCCCAGAGGCCCTGAGCAGCAGGTGGCAGGGTCTGTCCCTCCCCCACCAGAGGGCAGGAGCAGAGTCCAGGGCCTCACCCGAAAATGTGTGGCCTATTCCCGAGGCCTGAGGTCTTCCTGGCCTGCAATGGGCATGCTCTGGACCACAGGTGAGGAGGCGTCTCTCGGGGAGGCAGGAGGGCTACCCAGACCCCCTGCTGCCCAAGGGGGCCTCTTGAGTCCCTTCAGCAGAATGGAAACCCCTGGATTCCACTCCACTCACTCCTGATTTTAAAAATAATTGTCTCTCAGCCAGGTGTGGTGGTGCACGTCTGAGACCCAGCACTCAGGAGGCTGAGGCGGGAGGATCTCCAGTTCAAAGCCAGCCTCGGCAACTTAGTGAGACCCTGTCTCAAAATAAAAAATAAAAAGGGCTGGGGGTGTGGCTCAGTGGTAGAGTGCCCCTCGGCTTCAATTCCCAGCACCCCCAAAAAGTTTCTTATTACAAAAGATATTCTTATTTTAGAATAACTATAGCAATTACGGTTATAATTAAAACACTATTTGAATGACAACATGATATTTTTCTATGGTTATTAATCACAATGACAATCAACAATTATGGAAAAATGATAGACTAATGTTTTATCACCGATAGAACAGAAGCAGAATCAAGAGGTAAAAATCTTAAAAGTCACTAGTGACCCAGAGCCACCGTGGCGCTCAGGCCTGTTTGTCCCAAGCCTTCTTTGTGGACGTGCCAACACAGGTTTTGTTGGCTAAACACAACTGTGCCTGGTGAACTTTCAAAATCAAAACCTGCCTTTATGGAAGTGTGACCTGCATGCACTAAACCCTGGGTTAGAATCTTTCTCTGAGTGCAGCGCGTGGCGATGATCTTGGACGGGCACCACAAGCTGCAGAAGTAGAACGAGAGGCTCGCATGCCCTGCTCCAGCTTCCCTGCACCACAGGGCACACAGCCTCCGCGCCAGGAGCAGAACACGCAGGGCTGGGCTGCCATCCTGGGCCTGCTGTGGCCCTCACCTGGGTGGGCACTCTCCCCGGCTCCCCCGTGGCCTTGATGCTGTGCTCTGTCCAGCAGCTCCTGCCGGGTGTGTCTGAGGGTCACTATATCCATCCCAGGGGCCCAGTTTGGGGAAGAAAATCGGGCAAACAGAATTGCAGCCTCCAAAACGTGCCTTGAGGGTGGAGAGCTGGGGAGTTTCCAGGGAGCACCCACGGGGCAGCGGGCCCAGAGGGCTCTCTGTCCCTGCAATCCTGCCTGGGTGCCCGGCTGCGGCTCCTGCTAAGTTCCAAGGTCTGCCAGGCCTTTGTGTGTACTGGTGTCTCAGTGGCTGTGCACCCAGGAGCCAGCCTGCCCAGGGATCGTGGTGGACTCTGCGGGGTGGGTGGCCCGTTCAGGGGTGACCTGCCTGACCTGCCAAATGCTGGCAGCAGTGTGCTGGGAGCCAGCTCTGGACTTGACGCTCGTGGTGGCTCACAAGGCCCAGAGCCAGGAACTCCAACCCTCCGTTCACCCCAGAAGAGGGCAAAGTGCTCCCAGGTCAGAAGCTGCAGACAGCACGTGGTCAGTAGCCAGGGCAGTGGCAGCTCCCTGGCTTGAATCTCAGTCCCCGCATGTCCTCATGTGGACTTGGGGACAGGAACCTGACCTGTCTGGGCCTCGGTTTCCTTATCTGTACACAGGGTTGGTGTGAGGGGGGCACTGTGGGCACAGCGCCCACCCTGGAGCAGGAGGGTGACACAGGCCACGGCTGGAGGCTTGGAGGCTCCAGTGGGCAGGAGTGGGCTCCATGAAGTTGGGGGGTTGGGATCCCCTGTGTAAAGCAGCAGGTCAATGTCCCAGCCAAGTGTCCCCAAGTCCCTGGGAGCCTGGCTCTCGGGTGGCAGCTGGGTTGTGCCCATTCCCACCTCCCTCCCCTACCAGCAAGTCTCTGCCCCCAGGTCACCTCCTCTGAGTGCCATGGCCGTGGCACTGCAGGGACCTGGAGGACAGCTGGGGTGGACTGCTTCCTGGGCCTGGGTTGCTGGTGACCACTGGCTTTTCCTGCCTGCCAAGGGGGTCCCTGGGGCTGGACCCCAGGGCTGCTCCCACCTCAGGGCATTTCGGGCCTTGCCGGTTCCTCCCCTGCAGTGCTTCAGATTTGCCTCTTGAGGAAATTAATCTCTCTCCCTGGGAGCTTCCAAAACTCAGCAGCCCAGTGGCCCTGACAAGCCCAGTGGCCTGGGGAGGGGGCGCCAGCCAAGTGACCGAGCAGCTGTGTACCTGGGAGCCAATCTGCCCAGGGACACCCTGAGGTCCCGGTGTCTCTGGGTGGGAGGGACCGTGTGCCTCCATGCCTGGGGCCTGGCTCCTGGAGTGACCTCCCCGTGGCTCCAGCCTCTGCGTTAGCAGGTGTTGGTGCCTCACCCCGGGGTCTTTCGCAAGCCCAGGTAGGACCCAGGGTCAGGTGCCCCAAATGCCTCTCGACCTGCAAGGCCCAGGCCTCTAGGCCTCCTCCTCACGGGGCCCAAGTTCCACAGCCTCCCCTACCCAGCCAAGACCATGATGCCTGTACACCAAGCAGGTTGTTTGCCTCTGGGCAGCAAGGGACAGTGACCACAGCCCCACATTGCTGACCCCTGAAGGAAGCTGGGTTCCCCCAGTTTCCAAGTCTGGGCTGTGGCTGCAGAACTTGTCTGCCCTGCATCCCTGGGTGTGGAGCTGCTGGATGGGGACATTACAGCTGGGCTTGTCACTAGATCATGGCTTGGTCGTAGTGCCACAGTCAGAGGGCATGTGGCATGTGGGACAGGGTGCATGGGTTTCTTGGGTACGAGGGATGGAGTCCTGGGCCTGAGGCCGCTTGCAGGGCTGGCAGTCACAGTGGCCTCGGGAATACTGCTCCTCTATCCACAATCTGCAGTTGTGACAGTGCTTGGCTTCCCATCCAATATGGCCTCCTGTCCCTGCTCCTTGGGTCTAGGTGGACTAGGACTTGCTCTGGCCACTGGAGGTGGTGGAGAGTAGCCACAGTTAGAGCACAGGCCTGAGGCAGCCTTGGCTGTCCCCCAAGGAAGCGCTGGGAGGGGGAGGCCAGTGGGGCCCCTCGAGGGTGCCCACCTTGATGGCGACAGGCCCCTGGTATTCCCCAAGATAGTGAGGCCTGGGAGAAGGGGTTGAAGAGAGAGCCCGACACCGACAGCTTTCATCTCTCCTCAAAGGCAGACCACAGACCCCCAACCCCAAGTCCAAATTCCTGGGTGCTCCCGCTGACCCGTCCACCCGTGGAATCACAGACCCCCAGGTGCTGAGTGTGCAGGCCAACATGCGCCCTGAGCCACCTCTCAGCACCACCCGCACAAGGCTGGGCCCTGCTTTGTTCAGCAGCTCCTCTTGCACCAGGAGGTGGGTCAACGGCATCGTCCCGACCCTGCACCCTGTTCCTGAGCAGAGAGCAGAGCTGACTCGTGAGGCTCGTGTCCGGCCTGGTCTTTCTGTGCTAACACCTGGTGTGACGGTCCCTCCATGGGGCATGAGGACCTGGGAGGGCTGACGGGCCTGGGCACACTGCAGGTGGCAGGGAGAAGCCTGATTCTGGTTGGAAGAAGGAGGGACCCAATGGAGGGTGGGAGGCTAGGAGCCCGGGGATTGCTGGCTTGTGAGGAGGTGGCCCAGGGCAGCAGCTGTGGGATGGGACTCGGCCAGAGTCAGAGCAGCCCGCAGGAGCAGAACAGTGGCCAGAGTCCTCACCTGTCTGGGGCCGTTGCTTTGGTTTCCCTCCGTGAGCCAAGGCGTGGGACCGCGGGGCCCAGGGTAGTGAGCCCATGACACCTGTCCCTTGCTGTAGGCCCTTCTCGGCCCCCACGGCTGCTGGAAGTCCCACTGGCCACAGCCTCACCAGCCTTGGCGAGGTTAGTCTTGGTTTCAGGCTGTGCCTCCCCGGAGACCACCATGCTGGTGTCTTTCCACATGGGTGTTGGCTGTTCCCAAGTTGAGGGGCATTGAAGGACTTTGGGGGTGGAAGTCCTGTGACCTGGGTCGCCCCTCCCTTTCACATGCCCACAGGCCTGGGAGCAGTTCTGCTCCTTTGAGGACCAAGGGAAGCCTCTGGGCCTATCCGCACCAGGAGGGTGTCTGTGCTATTCCAATTCACATCACCTTGATGGGGCCCTGCCGAGGTCCTCAGATGTCCTTTGCAGCTGCCATGTCAAGATGAGCTCCAACTGCTGTAGCACTGTGGGCCCTGATCTGGTGCACAGTGTCCTCACAGGAAGCAGAGAGGGCACAAGGCACAGAGGAGACATGGGCAGTGCTGGAGCCAAGAAGCCACAACTGAGGCCTGCTTGGGAGTCAGGAGGAGTGGGGTCTCCCAGGGCCTTCCGAGGAGCCTGTGGCTGCCCGTTCACCCCTGCCTGCAGAACTGTTTACAAAGTTCCAGGGGCCTGTGGGCTGGGTGCCAGGTATGACCAGCACCGCTGACTCTCTGTGCTCTCCTGTCTGGTTGGGGCCTGCAGCCTGCAAGAAGGAGTGACCCTGGTGTCACGTTCTCAGGGTGGCAAGAAGCAACTGTGGCCAGACATGGCCTCACCTGTGATCCCAGCTCTTCGGGAGGCTGAGGCAGGAGGATCACAAACAAGGCCAGTCTCAGCAACTTAGTGAAACCCTGTCTTAAAAAATAACAAACAGGGCTGGAATGTGGCTCAGTGGATGAGTGCCCCTGGGTTCAGTCCCCAGAGCCACAAAAATAAAACCAGCGGCTGTGGTGCCTCAGAGCCGCGAGGCCAGCCTGCAGACAGAACGCTCCCTGGGAGTTCCCGGGGTCCTGACGCTGTGACCATGGTGTCGTGGCTGTGGGCAAGTCAAACTGCGTCCTGCATGGAGGCCTTCATCCCCGGCTCCTCTGAGGGTCTCCAAGGTCCTACTAAATCCCTGCCTGCTGCAGAGGCCAGTGTCGGGCCCTCCCACGGAGCCTACCTAGATGCAGGGTTGCTCCCAGGGCCCACGAACCTTGCTGATCATCACCTCCCGATGTCCCCAGTTGCGTGGGTCCTTGAGACCTGGCCTCTGCTCCTCCGTGGGCCCACTGAGCCCCCAGGGGTTTCTGAGGTTGAAGACCATCTGGGCTCTTGTCTTCATTGTGTCCTTGCAGCTGGGGACTGCCCGTGCCTGCCGGGCGAGACTCTGAGCCTGTGGCAGGCTGTGTCCCTGCTCCAGTCCCCTACCAGCTGCCAGCTGCTCCACCCTGGGACATGTGGGAGGATCTGCCTGCCTTGCTGCGGTCAGCAAGCCCAGGGGTGGGGCTGGGCCTGGCTGTGGAAGGCTCCCCAGGCACCATGGGAACATGGGGGACATCTCTGTTAAGACCCTTCCCTTCTGTGGGGGACTCTCTGGCTCCTTGGGGAACAGCAGGAGCCTGTGGGAAGCAGCAGCCATGTGGGGTTGAGGCAGTGTTGGGCCACGTCCTGGTGCCCTGATCCTGGCCTGGCTGATAGGTGATGGGGGGCTGTGGCCTCAGGAGGCTGCTGTGGAGATGACCGCTGGCCCTCTGGACACAGGGCCTTCGTCTCACTACAGTAGTGTGGACCAGCCAGCCTCCCCAGGTGGGCACACAGTGGGTGCACACCTAGTGCTATCCGCTGACCACCAAGCCCCACTCTTGCCACCAGCTCTGCCTAGGAACCTTGGGGCCGTGGTTCGCATGGCTGGGATCGAGGCCTCCCCCAGGGGCCTTCACCTGCTGACTGGAGGCTCTGTGGGCCACTTTCCTCAGGTCCATGTGATCCTCAGCAATTTCACCTCCTCCGACGTCTTGAGACGCCAGGGACTCCAGCCCCAACCTGTGCCCAACCTCCTGCTCACCGGCTCACAGTCCCTCTCCATGATGCCTCCGGCACCAACCAGACCCCACCTGGCTGGTGGGACGCCATCCCTCTCCTCCCTGGCAGGTCCTGCGCAGGACTGTGACCGTGCTCAGCCTGCTGTCCTGTGCGAGCACCCCAGGTCCCACGGCCACTTCCTGGGGGTCTCCCCTTCCTCCCTTCCCTCCCTGAAGTTGGCTCAGCCCAGTAGCTAGGGGACCCTTCCGAGAGGCAGGTAAGGCCCTGCTCTGCCCTAGACCCTCTCTGAGCAGGGTGGAGGTCCCCCAGCACCCGCAGGGCTACTCCTTGGCAGGCTGCCTCCTGCCTCCATGCCAGCCCTTCATCTCCTCTCCCTCCCTATGCCCGTCCCATGGCCCGCATCTGCTGGCTGTGCTGAGCCTCCCCATGGAGGGCCTGCTGCCTCCTGGCCTTTGCTGAGTCTCCTCGCCCACGAGGTGCCCTGATGCCTGCGAAAGTCCCCACCATCACCTGGTGGTGCTTGTCCTCTCCTCAGCACTTATGCCGAGAAAGGGAGACTTCAGTGCATCCCTCGTCCCTGTCCCCACTGCTCCCAGCACCTGGGACAGCAGGTGCCTAGTAAATGCTCAGGAAGGAAAGGAGCCAACCATTGCTCACCACAGGCAAATGTCTTTGCAGAAAAATTAGGATATGGGCAAGTCCAGGAAGCAGACTAAAAGCCCAGGAAGCCACCCAGGGATGGACGGGCAGGCCCCACACCCACTCTTCTCTGGGAGTGAGGGGGAGCCGTGGGCACAGGTCGGCTTCCTGCCGGAGCCTGCAGGACCAGGCTGCCCGGCCAACGCTGGTGTCCATACTCGGCCACGGCGAGACGTGCTGCTCCTCTGGGGAGGGGTCTCTTCTCCAGGGGTCTCTGGTCAGCCCCAGATAGGCGGCTCCCTCCTGGCCCCATAGGCCCTCTGGGCCACCCCCGGATCCGCTCCTGCACCCTGGCCATCAATGATTCATTGGCACGAGGAACATTTTTATTAGGCAAAATGAAATTCTGATGCTGGTGACGTCCCTCAGGGCAGAGTGGGGGCCCCTGCCGCCCGCCTCTCCCAGCTACAGCTCAGGTCTTGGCGTCGGGCCTGCTCGGGTCTCTGGCTGCAAATGAGCCGATTTACACACAACATGACTTTTCTGAATTTGCTGCAGAGACGATTTATAATTGGATTAATGAAAGAAGTGGGCTGGGAATTAGGTTTTATTAAACCCTATTTGCTTGTACCTTTGCCACTTAAAACACTATTGTCGTTTAAAAAGGAAAGACAAGTGCTGAGTAGGAAAGGCAGGAAAGGCGGTGCAGGGTATGGTTGGGGTCACCTGGACCTGGGCGTGACGCTGGACCTGTCCAGAGGGCCTGTGTCCATTCCAGATGCTCCCTCGGCTTTTGCCTCCACCCTTGAGGACAGTGTCGGGACTTGGTGTCCCGGGGCCCACGTAAGAGGATCTCCCCTCCCGCCAGCTCCCCAGCAGGCCTGCTGGACCACTCCTCTCCCGTCTGCTCTGCCCCCCACACTGGGCTGGCTCTGCTGTCTGGGGGCACTCTACATGTTTTGAGGCAGAGGACTTTGGCTGGGGTTCCTGGCAGTGCAGGCCACCATCCTCCATGCGAAGTTGGTCCCAGTGTGGGCATCCCTGGTGGTCAGGGCCGAGTGGACACTGGCCTCAGTGCTACGGGCACGTCTTCAATAGCAGGATCCTGGGCCTCTTCCTCCCCGTCCTGAGCATCGGGCTCTTGGGGTTGAACTCTGGGGTGACACACAGTGGGTGGCCATGTGCTGCAGGGAGCCTTGGGGTACCCGCAGTCCCCGCCACAGGAGGCAGGAGCTCTGGGGACACAGGACAGCCCCTGTTGCCACATAGGGGCCTCCCTCCTGCTCGAGGCCATGCCCCCCCACTGGGGGCCTGGGAGGACCGCCCCTAGGACGGAAGGTTTGCCTGTGGTTCCCTGAGGTCCCCTGTGGCTGGTGACTCTGCTAGCCACCCGGGGTGAGTCCCTGACTGTGGCCAGGAGGGTGGGACAGGGTGAAGACGGATCGTCCAGTCTCTCCAGCTGATGTCCAAGAGCGAAGCCAGCCACTCTCCAGGCTGCCCCACGGGAGGGGACATTGGAAGCCACCAGGCAGACATACTCTCCCTGTGAGGCCAGGAAAGGGGCCTGGAGGCTCTGCCTGGGGAGGGAATGCGGGCCTGGTCTTCAGCAGCAGGGGTGAGCATGACTACATGAGGCCAGCCCCAGGACGCACACGCCCTCCGGCTGCCAGCAAACCCCAGAGGTGCCTGGTGGGTGCTGCAATGCGGGGCGAGGGCAACAGTCCTGAGCATCAGTGACCCCACGTGAAGCAGGCTGGGGCTGTGGGGACACTGTTCTGAAACCTGGGCCGAAGAACTCTGTTCTGTATCCTGCCAGCTGCAGAGAGGCCGGAGCTGACCCTCTCCTCTCCCTCCATGTGGCCAGCCGGCTGTGAGGCGAATTCTGGCCTCTCCACACCTGCCCAACCCCCTTGCCTGGTCCAGGCTGTGGAGGCAGCTCTCCAGGACATGAGGGCGGGAGAGCTGTGTGTCCTCCAGGACTGGGACATTTCCCTGAGGCCAGAGCCCCAAGGCCACGTCTCAGCTGAGCACCTGGAGCCCACGTGGGGTCACGACAAGATGCCAACAGCAGAGTGGCTGAGTGCCATGTAAGTGCCATGTAAGACTTTATTTATAAAAACAGGTGAGAGGTGGGCGTCCGCAGCTGCCTCTGCCACAGAGGGCACAGATCCAGGGGGCAGCAGGGGCATGGGCCAGCGAGGGATGGCAGAAGCGGAGCCCCTGCCCGCAGGGCCTTCTCCAGCTCCCCGAGGCAGGTGGCTTCGTCTCTGCTGCCGGCCCCTCCTGAGCCTCCCCGAGCAGCAGAGTGGCCTCCTGGGCCTGGCCTCAGTCGCCCTTGGGACCAGGGCAGCCGTAGCTTCTTCCCGGATCTCGCGGAGCTGCCCTCCGGCTTTGGCCTTGGCCGAGGGGCGCGAGCTCTGTCTGCTGGGAGGGAGCGTGTGTGCGGAGGGTGGTGCCGGTCCTCGGCCCAGGGCCCGAGTCGCTGGGGTGAGTTCTTAGGGCTTCGGCACATGCAGGGCGGCTGTCCCGGCAGCCTGAGGAGGATCTCTGTAGAAAGGCACGTGAGTCGCGCGGGAGTCCCAGTCCTCGGACACCCTCCCTTGGCAGAGCTGCCCGTCCTGGGAGGGTCTGTCCCCGACATGGTGGCTATGGCCGCAGGCACCAGGCCTGCCCTGTCCCGGGCACACGGCCCAGCCTGCCCGGGGGGTGGGTGGCGCGAGGCAGTCCTGGCTCCAGCCCGGGCTTGCCCAGGGCTCCCCAAGGTCCACCAGTGCCCATGTTCTGGACAGTGGCTCTGGGGGCGAGGTCAGTGCTGCCCGTGCTTGATCCAGTTCCTGATCATCCACTTCTGCCCTGAGCACCTCTGCACCACCAGCCGGAGCCCGAAGTTGGCGTCTTTGGACATCTCTACCTCTAGGCACCGGCCCGTGTCCCGGCTCACGATGGGGCCACTCTGCAGGGTGGGGAGCCGGGTCAGACGGGGCGCCAAGGACAGGGGGTGGCCCTGGGCCCATGCTGCCCCACATGGCCACCAGGAAGCCCCCGGCCCCTTGGTCCTCTCTGCCGCCTGCATCCCAGCCAGCCTCGCTGCCAGCCTGCCCTGCTGTTTTCTGGGGTCCAAGGGGTTCCAGGAAGCACAGGGGGCCCCGAGCCCATGGCCCTGGCCCCACCTGGCTGCCCCAGAGGCAGCTGCAGCAGGGCCGCTGACCCTGGCCTCACTGCCACCCCTACCCCACCCCCGGGGCCTCTCAAGGCAGCTCTCAGGCAGCAGTGAGAGCTCCTTCCCAGCCAGTGGTCCCCAGGCCCCTGGGGGACAGCAGAGCCCCTCACAATGTCATGGGGTTTGTGCCCAGCAGGAACAGAGGTACTGGACCTGCAGGTCTCCACAGGAGGCAAGCGGGGTCAGCAGGGCTTGGAGGACACATCCAGCTGCCCTGGTCCTGGGCCCAAGAGTGTCAGGCTCAGAGGGTGGCATGGTGTGGTGAGGGGCGGGAGCAGGCCCTGGGCTCAGAGTCCCTCAGGAGCGGGATCTGAGGGAAGGAAGGATGGACAGGGGCCACTCCTTCCTGGGGGCTTGGGAGGGTCAGACTCGGGCATCACCAGCGCAGCTGGGTCAAGTGCTGGTTCTGCAGAGCTCTGTGGAATTGCAGTCTTGCCTCTTGAGACCACCAGCCAAGGTGAGGCACTCCAAATCCCTCTGCCCAAATCCTCCTGTCCATTTCTTGGGCCTGGGAACCCGGGCAGTCAGGGCTGAAAGTGGTAGCGCTGTAAAATGACCCCTCTCTGGCTGTGTGACCCTGGGCCAGTCACCCCCCACCCCCGTGCTTTGGGGCTCCTGGAGAGCAGCTGATCCAGGGTCCCTGCCACGCTGCCCTGGTCTCATCTGCAGGCGGCCCTGGAGGTACATGAGCCACTGACCTGCGTGAAGTCCCACAGCCGCTGTGCCGGCCTGGCTACATCTTCACACTTCTTCAGGGTGGGCGTGCGTCCCCGGCCATCGTCCACCAGGCACTTGGAGTCGGGCAGGAAGGCCGTGGAGCCCAGGGGGCCCAGCTGCAGGAGGCCGTCAGCACTGTACCGCACCAGCTGTGAGGATGGACAGAGCTGTGGGCAGCACCCAGGACCCCCGAGGCCTGGACCCAGCCCCCAGGCCTCAGCTGGGGGGATAGACAGAGCTGTGGGCAGCACCCAGGACCCCCGAGGCCTGGACCCAGCCCCCAGGCCTCAGCTGGGTGGATGGATAGAGCTGTGGGCCCAGCACCCAGGACCCCCGAGGCCTGGACCCAGCCTCCAGGCCTCAGCTGGGGAGATGGACAGAGCTGTGGGCAGCACCCAGGACCCCCGAGGCCTGGACCCAGCACCCAGGCCTGCTGTACACTAGGCCCTTGGTGTCTGTTCTAGGGCGTCCCCCTCCCAGGAGACACTGTGGTGGATGTGAAGTGACCACAAGGGCCCACCTCTACAGGCTGTGCAGAAGGCTCTAGGGGAGGAGGGGACGTCACCAGGCTCGGATGCCAGCTGGGCATCAGATTTTGGAAGACAGCACGGGTGGACACTGGGGAGGGTTGAGTGGACACGGCCAGGCCTGGGGAGTCCAGGCTGCCTGTGGCGGGCTCAGGCCTGGGCGAGGGGAGGAACTCCTGGGATCCATGCTGGTGGCCAGTGTGCTCAGAAGGAATCCAGCTGGGCTGGAGGAGGGAATGGAGGACACCCCAGCCTCCTGAGCCAATCCAGTGGGCAGCACTTTCAGGCTCCGGGAGTCATGGAGGTATTGGGGTTCACTGAGGGAGATGCAGGGGGCATAGGCAGCCAGGGCAGGGGCCAGACCAGAGTTGGGCAGAGAGAACACAGGAGCACGGGGAGGGGCTCTGGTGTGCTCAGCTTCCTGGTTGGCAAAAGTGCCCGTGGACACAAGTGGGGACCTGTCACACAGACACTTCTGTAAACGGGGGACCCAATGGAAAAACTAAGACAGATGAGTGGACCAGGAGACCAACCAATAATAGTGAGGAGCACGGGGACAGGGGGAGATGAGGAGAGGAGGAAATTCCAGAGACCACAAAAAGAACAGGCCAGGACTCCCCTCGGGACTCCGGCTCCAGTCCCCTGCTCCTCAGAGAAGTCTGTCTCTATGTCTGTTACTTTGCCCTGAGCCTGCTGCTTGCTTGCTGTCCCTGCGTCCTGCTCTTCACTCCTTTGCTGAACGGAGACTTCAAACCCAGCACCCCTGAATGGTAGCCACAGGACACCCCAGAAGGCCTGGGCAGGTGGCTGAGAGGATGTAGGTCCTGTGCCCAATGCCCACCTCCCTGCCTTTCGGCCCCACCCACCCTGCTTCTGTGGGGGCCAGTGGGAGGAGGGGGGAGGAGCCCCAGCTGGGCTGAGGCTGCCTGGTGGACGGACCCCATGCCTTCCCCATGGTCCTGCAATGAGGACCCATCTTGGGTCGCTTCCCGGGAACTCTGATCAGAGTCCTGGCCTCTGTGAGGCTGGACACCTGGGCCCAGGCGTGGATTTGGGAGACAGAGGGCCTCCCATGGCCCCAGCATGCTCCACTCCTCCCGAAGGACATGGCAGACGTTTCAGGTGAAGGCGACTCCGTGTGCCCACACCCTGGGGCTATGGTTAGGGGTGTTTGTGTAACACTCCCCCCAGGGAGGCTTTCTGCAAGAGGGCAGAGTGACAGCTACACATTCCACACAGAGGCCAGCTGTGTGCCCTCAGCAAGCCCCTTGGCCGAGCCTCAGTGTCCTCCACAGCAAGCAGGCTGTTAGGACGGCCTTGTGCACAGGGCTAGCATGGGACGTGGCATCAGAGGGGGGCACAGCAGGCGTGTGTGTGGGCTCCTGCTGTCTTCTCCTGAGTGCACAGGTACACTGCCCAGGCACGTCCTGTACCAGCTGCTCCTGCCTGGCATATCCATGTGGCATGTGACCTTGACCCCCAGCAGTGGCTCTGTCCTCTCCTTCTGGACATCAGGGAATGGTGAACATCATGGAGTGGAGCCTTCCAACTTCTGAGGGATGTCACCAGTGGCCATGAGTCCTGCTCTGGCCAGCCAGCCCTGGCCAGCACAGCTGCCAGCCAGTGAGAGCCCTCTGGGAGTGACCTTCCAGGCTCAGCCTTGGGAACAGGAGAGCCACTTGTGCAGGGCTGGGCAAGGGAGGCAGGCCCAGGACCAGGGGTTCTGACTTCAGAGTGTGGCCTCCAGAATGGCAGGGGTGGGGGTCCTGCGGCCCTGAGCCAGTGCAGCTTCTGGTCCTTGGTCACAGTGGCCCCAGGAGACTGAGACAGCCTGGTGATGGGGTCTGGGGACTTGACTTAGCTCTTCCCTGGAGTCCTGCAGCCTCAGAGAACTTTGGGTTGTGAGTGACCAAGAGACTGTGATCATTTTGCAGAGGAGAACGTGGGGGCCATGTCCTGCTTGAATTGAGAGTTCTCCAACTCTCCAGTGAGGCTTACCTCGGGCCCAGCCTCCCCATCCACCTGGTCCCCGTCTGCCCGCCCTCTAGGAGTGGGAGGTGACTTATGCCCATGGCCCCACTGTCCTCTGGTGGCAGAGGGCTCAGCATGGGCACTGGGGCATCACGGGGGGCCCACACCTCTGCTGACCCCGGATTCTGCCCTGCCCTGCCCTCCAGCAGGGCTTTGCTCCTGGCAGAAGGGTCTGCTGCTGGGACCCGGCCAGGCCCAGGGGCCGCCTCCTGAGGTCCTCACTGGCCAGAGGGTCTTCCACACGTGTTGGAGGCCCCCAACTGGACTTGCTCAGCGGCCTCCTCTGGGCCTCCACGTAGGTCTGCTTTGCCGTTAATCAAAGCTGGAAGCTGAAATGGCTGGGCCTCCTGTCCAGAGCTCCAGGGAGGACAAAGGAGGGCAGCGCATGGAGCTGGTCACACCCATGCGCCCCCGTCAACTAGCACCAGCTCAGTGCTGGGGTGAGGGCAGGGTGGCAGGGTCCCTGGACCTGCCCTGGGTGGAGCTCTGTGCGCAGGGCTCTGGAAGGGCTGAGGGTCACGCCCGGAAAGCCGACCGTGGAGTGGGATCCAACTTCAGCACTGAGACACCCAGGCACATCGTCACATGCAGAGGGTCACCTGTGATGGGACCCTCAGGCTCTCTCTTGGGTCAGGGTCACCTGGGGCCATGATGAGCCCTGGCTGGGGTCTGGCCAGGTGCAAATGGACCTGGGGCTGCAAGGCCGGGGCAGGTGCTCAGGCAGAAGTAGCACCCTCAGTGTCCTGTGGTGTTGATGGGGACCCTGAAGCATAGAGGAGTCCCCAAGGCCTGCCTGACCCAAGCCTTGTCCTTAGTTTACCCATCTGTTGCCTTGGGGGGGCGGGGCTCTCGGGGTCCCCAAGCTGCTCCAGCCCCTGAGCTGGCCCCAGCAGCCACTGTGTGCTCAGCACCTGCCCCTGCCTGCAAAGGGCTCGCTGGGCCTACCTGGGAGGACATGCCATGGCAGGGGTAGAGGATGGCCCGGTCATCGTCCTCCGCACCCTGGTCCAGGCAGTAGCCACTGGCCTTGCTGTTTCTCACCTGCCACCAAAAGCCACAGGAGGAACCCAGGGTCACCAAGGAGGATCTCCAGGCCAAGGTAAGGCTGCAGGAAGCCCCCCCACCCACCATCCTCAGGTGGGGCTGCTCTGCAGCTGGCTGTCCCAGAACAGGCGTGAGCCTGACGCCATCCTCTCCGGGCATGAGACCCACCAGGACCCAGGGTTGGCCTGGGGCCAGGTGAGGTAAAGGGGAAGGGAGCAGAGGGGCCACAGGCTGGCCAGCTGTCAGGGGCACGTTGACTGTTCCTGACACAGTCCTACATGCTGGATGGAGACCTGGGCTGTGCCGCTGGCTTCCCATGTCCCTGTGCTGTGTGACCATAGTTCTTCCCCAGGAGGCAGAGGCTCAGCCAACGGAATGCAGCAGAAGTGAGCCATGTGGGCTTAGAGCCCATGAGCCGTGCGACCTGCTCTGCCTGCAAGTTGGGCTGGCAGCAGCAGCCAGCCAGCCTCCAGCCCGCAGAGCATGCCCAGCCAGGATGGGCTCCGCCCCCACCCAGCAGAACTGCCCATGGCCTGGACCCTGAGCACCCTCAGACACCTGGAGTAACGGGCCACTGCTCCCCAGAGTGGTGCAGGTTTTACCAGCAGAAGAAGCAGCCACAGGGGTGGGTGGTGAGGGGACTTGACAGTGGGAGGAAATGGGCAGGACAGAGCACAGGAGAGGCCGGGAGAAGCGCTGCCTCCCGCCACCCCTTCAATACCCAGTGCCCCCCAGGGAGGCTCTGGGCCCGATGGACTGGGTCAGATGTGGGTTGGGCCGGGAGCTCTGGGACGGGAGCTCTGGGATGGGTAGACAGCTAGGACCCCCAGCCAGGGGGCTAGCCCAGGGCCAGGATGTGCACATTCTTTCCGCAAGGAAGAGCTGGGCTCTGGGGAAGCTGAGGAGCTGGGGGGAAGCTCTGCTGCCCAGTGCAGGGTGGGAGGCCGCCCACCATAGCACAGACCGGGGAGCGGCAGGACCACAGGGCGCCCCCTGACTTTGGAGAGCCACGAGGGTCTGTGCACCAGCAATGGTGGGGCGGGGTCTTGGTGCCGCTCAGGTGCTGCTCTCCGTGTGAGTCTGGGGCCATGGTACTGTGTGTGTGGACCAACAGGGCTGTGCTGTGTGGTGCACGCGTTCAGGTGACAATCCTGACATGGCACAGGTGCCTGGTGCACATGGAGGCGCCCTGACAGGTTCACACACAGCTGAGGTGTGCGTGGTGCCTGGGAAGCTCTGTGTGTGCACACGTACACCTCCATGTGTGCACTGTACTCGTGTGTGCATGCTCAGCGTGCACCAGCAGGGTTTATGCACATGCATGTACACAGCATGTGTCTGTGGGAGAGTGTAGGCATGCAGCACACACACGTGTGTGAGTGCACGCTCACAAATGTGAATGCACTCATGCACACATGTTCATGTACACAGATGCACATGCATTTGACACACACCGTTATGTACACACACAAGCATCTGAATACATGTGTGCATGTACATGTGTGTGCCCTGTGCACATGCATGTGAATGCAGGTGTCCCTACCTATGTGAATATGTGTGCCATACATCTCTGTGTGTACCTGTGTACACGTTTCTTCACGTGTGTGTATTTCTACAGGCAAGGATCGGTATGTGTTTTCATGTGGGCCAAGTGTATGTGACGGTCCCTGTGTCCCTTAGTGTCTGGATGCCCCAGTATACAGGTGTGCAGGTGGGGGCATGGGTGTGGGCAGTGTGCTGGGGTACCGTGTCAGGTGTGGGGGGACAGGGCGTGGCGGTGGGGTCAGGCGGGCCCTCCGGGGGAGGCGGTACCTCTCCGTATGTGAGGGTGTTGTTGTAGGTCCTCATCTCAGGATACACATTCTCCAGGTACCACTTGAAGCTGCGGCATTTTAGCCTCTGGCGCAGGGCCAGCCTCTCGGACACGTCCCCGAAGTCCACCCCTGGGTTCTGCGAGGCAGGAGCAGGTGGGGACATGTGAGTGCCAGGCCTCCTGAGACCCCCCAGGGCAGTCCTGTTGCAGTCTCATCTCAAACTGGCCTCCTGCCCTCCCGTAACCCACAGAAGGTCAGCCTGGTTGTCTGCACCCTGATCCAAGGTCCAGCCCTGCAAGCTCCTGGGAGGGCTCTCGAGCCTGCTTCTGTTTGGTTCCCATCCTGGTGGCCTGGCCTTGGGTTGCCTAGATGGCTGAGATGTCCTGAGATGGAAGGCAGGGCTTTGGCCATGCAGTGTGAGCCTAACCTCTGGAGGGCTGGACACAGGCCAGCCACAGGGAGGTCACCACATCCAGGTGGCTGAGCCCTGGTCAACACAGCTGTCCCTGGCTGGTTCCAAGCTGCCCTGTGCTGTAGAGCTGGGGCCGGTTGCCCTGTCCAGCTTGGGCATCCTCCTGTTGCCAAGGACCTGAGGTGCCATGGGGCCCATGCTCTGTGCAGGGAGTGGCCCCCAGGAAGGTGGGGTGGGCTTGGGGGAGCTCTGCCCCCAGGGCCCCATCTGGGCCAGCAGGTCAGGGCAAGGGTGGACTCAGCCAGGATGCTGGAGCCGAGTCTGTCATTTTGTGGGTGGTCTTGGGACAGTCCCTGCCCTCCTGGGGCCACAGTCCACGCACCCTTGTAAGCCAAGGGTGAACCCAAGACACATCCCACCCTTGTAGGACTGAGCCGCCTCCTGTGGAGGGGCTGGGGCCCAGGAGGCCAGCCCCCTGCTCTGCCTACGTCCTGCCCTTCCCAACCTGGAGGGACATGGTCACACTGGACTTTCTGCATCAGTTTGCGACAGACCATAGGCCTCATGGTTGGCAGGAGCCCTCCTTGTCTCTAGTATTGAGGGCCGTTCTGATGGCTTCCTGGTCTGTGGGGCTGGAAACGGCTGTGGGCAGTGCTGGCCGGCCAGTACCGGATCGGGTGGCTTCGGCAGGCCTGTGACCCCACATGGCCACCAGCTCCCAGTAACACCATGGTGGGGTGACAGCAGAACAGCGCTCTGGGAGGGTTCCCTGGGGGCTGTGGGGGGGCGGATGCTGCCTGGCTGGCAGAGGGCTGGGCCAGGTGGTATGGACGGGCAGGCAGGGCTCTGGTGGACAGCATCTACTCAGTGTTTTTGAGAGGGGCCGCCTGGCCAGGGTGGCTGTCATTGAAGCACTGGGGAGGCTGAGGCAGAGGACCCTTCCTGCCCTCCTGACCCCTGGCCCTGGGATCACTCTCTACCTAGACTATCTACCTGGGCCAGTGAGGACAAGGCCCTTTGCCAAAGTCCCCTCCCTACCTAGGGTGGCCGCAGGATGCCCACGACCCCCACTGGCCCTGCTCTGGTGAGGACAGGGCCCTGAGGAGTCCCACGAGGCCCGCTACCCCCCGCCCGGGCTCACGGTCATGGGGATGTTCCAGGCCATGTACACGTGGGACTTGAACTCATCCATCCACACCTCGGCGGCCCGCAGCGCGTTGCGCTTGGCGTAGTAGTCGATGTCGTTGTTGTAGGGCTTCTTGGTGCGCTCGATGTGGGCCACGCGGGAGCAGGGCAGCACCTCCATGCTGCCGCCACACTGCCACACCTGGGCGGGGACCCCATCCCCAGTCCCCTGTCACCACAGGGCACACCACGGAGGCGCCTGCACTGGGCCCCGGGTCCTCAGGGGCTTGGCCATAACTGGTTTCAGGGGAAGGTGCCCAAGGGACAGCCACGGGCAGTGGTCCACCCACACAGGCCTGGGTGAGGCTGCACCCCTCAGGCGTCCCACCCAATCTGACTTCTCTGCATAGTCTCCGATTGCCTTTTTGTATTCCACTCACCCCAACATTACTGTCCCCTTTTCTGGTGGCCTCTCCCACTCCATTCTGTGCCCTGTGCAGGGGACCCCCATAGCACCTCTGCCTGCCCACCCCAAGCAGCCAGAATGACCCTGTGAGCCTCTTAGAAAGAGCCACCAGCTGTGCAGATGCAGGCACTGGCACCCAGGTCAGCACTGCCCCAGGTTGGAATCGTCCACACCCTTGCTTCCTCTGCCTAGACACCTGCGGTCTCACACCCAGGGTGGAATGCCCTTTGCCTTGTTATTCCCTCATACGGGCTCACACTGGGCCGCAACCTTCAACCATCTTTGTCCCCCTGAGGCTCCACGTGAGTCCCTCCCATGCTGTTCATGCCGTGCCAGCCAGCTGGTGTCACCTGCACTGGGCCCCAGGTGCTGAGGTGCCTGATTGAGCTCTCTGGGGGCTTCTGCTGAGAGCAGCATGTCACTCTGTAGCCTGGGCCTGGGGATCCCCAGGAGGACACAGAGGTTGAGGGGCGGCAGTCGCTGTTGGCTTGTGTCCTGAGGACTGGACTGTGCTGTCCCTTGCCTTCAGACTGGACTCAGACTGAGCTCACTCCACCAGCCCTCCTGGGGCTTCCACCTGCCAGCTGCTGGGCTGAGGACCCTTGAGCATCCACACTGTGGGCCAATCCCTGTGACACCCACGTCCTGGTTCATCTCTGTCTGCATCGGTGTCCCCTTCCTCTGATTCTGCAGAGATTGCGACCCAATCCTGACACACCGCCCCACATCTCTGCCCCACGGTGTGTGTCCTGAGCCGCTCTCTGCCACTCATCCACCATGGTGCGCTGCCTCACCCCAGGGCCTGAGCTATGGAGTTGGCCATCCAGGGGCTGAACCTCTGGAACCGTGAGCCCCAAATAAACTTCTCCTCTGTGTCACTCTTGTGGGATCTCTTCGTCATAGTGATGAAAAAGCTTCCTAGAACTCACAGAGCGAACTGGGACCTGGCCCAGGCCTCAGAGTCTCAGACCCTCTCTATATCTGAGTCTCAAATGTCCACCTTTCCCCTCAATACTGGGACCTAACCCAGAACCTCACACAGGCCAGGCGAGTGCTTTACCACTAGCCACATCCCCAGCCCCCACCCTGTTCTCTGGTATTGGGGACAGAACTCAGGGGCTCCACCGCTGACCCCTGGCACTTTTATTTATTTATTTATTTATTGAGACCAGATCTGCCTACGTTGCTCAGGCTGGCCCAGAACCTGCAATCCTCCCGCCTCGGCCTCCTGGACCTCTGGGATCACAGGTGTGGCCCATGCCTGGTGGTCTGTCATTTTTTGTGACATCTGTCATTGAATTTGACCCACCTCAGACTTGGAGGGCCTCAAGAGCCTTCCCTGGTCACCTCTGCAAAGACCTCAAAGGTCACAGCACAGGCTCCTGTGTGTATTTTTTGGGGGCCTCCAGCCAACCCAAGGAATCTCATCCCAGCAGAGCTTGCACCTCGGGCGGATGAGGACCCCAGGTGACAACAGAGAAAGGCTTTGAGACACTGCCTGGCAGGTGGAGGGCGGGAGTTGGAGCATGCTCAGCCGGAGGACCCTGAGGTCAAGAGGCGGCTGACCAGAAACAGTCGGATCAGAAAGACAGTCGCCCTGTGTGGCTGGAGCCAGGGCCGCAGCTCCCAGGCTCCAGGGGACATGAGGCCCAAGGAGCCACAGCTGCGCCTGTGCACCCAGCCAACGTTTGACAGGGCTACGTGGAGGGTCCCGCCGCCCACAGGACAGCATCTCCATGAAGATGCATTCCTCCGATGCGAGAGCAGGTGCCCTGGGAACCTGCCCGCGGAGGACACCTGCTGCGTATTCAGACCCGAGGACCCCCACAGCACTGGCTCCTTGGATGCCTGCAGATCAGTCCCATGCGTGACAGGTGGGAAAACCGAGGCAGGGAGGGCGTGGACTGCAGGCTGACCAGTGGAGGCAGGCTCCAGATGCAGGTCTGGGGTCTTTGAAGGTCCAGGGTCTGCAGTGGACTTCTGAGCAGAGCTGGCTGGCAGGGCTGCATCCTCCCCCATCAGGACCTGCATTACCTCAGGCACCAACCCTGGGCCTCTTGAAGTGGCTCTCAGAGCAGACACAGGCCCAGCACCCCCATCCTCTCCCTTCAGCCTGAACCCAGGCAGAGAGAAACCCCCTTCTGGGGCCCCCTGGAGCCCCCCAGTGGAGGACACCACTGTACCTCTGGGAGGCTGGCCTCGCTGCCAGGACCTCACATACTTCTCCTCTTGGGAGAGTGGGAAAAACTGCCCCAAGGCTAATAAAGCCCTCCGCCCCCAGGGGCATCTTGGGGCCAGCAGTGGCCCTTAGGGTGGGGGACAGTTCATCCATCGCCCCAAGCAGACCCCAACCTTCACAGCAGAAAAGCAGGCGAGTCAAACTCTGCTCAGTGGACCACCACCCTGGCTGGGCTCAACACTGGATTTTGTCTTGACCTTTATTAAACCTAATGGACAGGGCAGAGCCACTCCCCCTAATTGGCTCAAGGACTTTCCTCATTAGGGGACTCAGCTGGCCTTCCTGCAGCCACAGGGATGTAAATTGGCCCTGAGACCACAGAATCACTCTAATTAGGCTAAATGGATCTGAAAGGCTGCACGGGCGCCCTCTTAGAACAGGCCGGGAGCAGCAGCCAGTGTGTGTGGGGGGGGCAAGGCACAGCCTGGAGGGTCCAGCAGGCCCAAGGGCTGGGGGCCTCAGCACGTGCTGTTCCCCGGCCGGAGCCTGGGTCTTGGCCAGTCTGTCCTCGGCCTTGGCCTCACGTCACCGCCCTGGGGGGAACACTGCGGCCTCCATGTGGGCCCATCAAGGGAGCGTGGCCGGGGCTTTCCCTCTGCTGTCCTCTCTGTACCTGACACCCAGCACACAGAGGCCAAGGGACTCAGGAAGGACGCAAGCTCCTCCCAGCCTCCCGCCCTGAGCTTGGACCTCACACTCGGCACCTCGCGCTCTGCAGGGAGCCCCTCTCAGAGGCTCCTTCATTCATGAACTGTACTGGGCACTGTGGCAGGCCCCAGGGACACGTGGCAAGGGAGGGGACATGGACCATGAAAACAGGAAACTCGTGAGGCTTTGATGGCAGAGGAGCATGTGGGGACGCAGTGGGGCCGTGGTGCAGTGCTGGGCAGGGCAGGGTCCAGAACGAGGTCCAGTCAGGCCCAGAGGGCACCTGAACCCAAGGGGAGGGAGGCTGGCTGAGAGCCTGCATCGGTTGCCACCATCCCCACTTACTCTGGTGGCCTTTCAGCTGCCTCTGCAGGTGGCTGTCCAGGAGTTGCCTGGTGCCCAGGGGACCGAGTCCACTGCCCCCACCCAAACTGCCAATCCCAGGGCGCTTCCCAGGGCTACCAGCCCCACAGGCACAAACAAGCCCCACCAGGCAAACCGCAGGCCCGCCCTGGGATGTGGTGCCAGGCAGAGTGCCCGCTTCTGAGAGGCCTGGGGAGGTGGCCCACGACCCCCAGAGCCCAGCTTCTGTGGGGCCTGGGGAGGTGGCCCACGACCCCCAAGGCCTAGCTTCTGAGGGGTCTAGGTGGTCCACGACCCCCAGAGCCCAGCTTCTGTGGGGCCTGGGGAAGTGGCCCATGACCCCCAGAGCCCAGCTTCTGAGGGGCCTGGGGAGGTGGCCCATAACCCCCAGAGCCAGTGGCTTCTGTGGCACATCCGACAGGGCAGAGGGCATGCAGCAGAGCCCTGCACAGGAAGAGGAGCCAGGGCAGGGACCTGGCGCTGTGGTGGCTGGGGTGACATTGAGCGAGGCCTGTAGGATTGGGCAGCAGACACCCTGCAAGCTGGAGGGACCCAGCAGAACCATGTGGAATTGATTGGGGGCTCAGCCACCTGCTCTCCTGGAAGGCTCTCCCTGGGAGCCAGCAGAGCCAGGTGTCCACCGCCCCTGCCAGGCATGAAGAGTGCATGCTGCCTTCCTGGCCCTGTGCCCAGTCCAGCCCCACCATGCAGAGCCACAGAACATCGGCCGGGCCCGCCAGGCCACTGCCCCTCAGGCATGGGGTGCACTGTCTCAGCAGCTGGTCTCTGGAGTCGCAGAGCTGGCAAGGCCAGGAGGTGGGCAGGAAGGGAGTGGGCAGTGTTTGTCCAGAGCCCCACAATCCCATGCATCCCACGTCCTGCTGCTGCCTTGCCTGATGTTGGAGGGACGTGGTTTCCACAAGTTTCCCCAAAACCAACAGCAAGAGGCAAATCAGGACTGGCACCCTCCAGAGGGAAAAGAGAGAGCCGTCAGGCCACCAAGGATGGGGACAAATTGGGTCCCATTCCCACAGTTCCTCTGGGGCCGCCACAGCAGATGGGGGCTGGGGAGATGCAGCCCTGTCCCCGGCTGCAGCCACCACCAGGGTCACCAGGCCAGACTGCCCACTGCCCCTCAGGACAGAGCCAAGAGGGCCCCCAGTTCTCAGCTCAAGTATGACAGGCCTTTGATCTGAGTGAAGGTCAGCTTCTCCCCAGCACTGATTTCAGCCCCAGGGTCACGGCCGGATTTGTGTATAAAGTAGCCGTGACAGTCCCCACAGCCAGGGCAGCAGGGCAGCCATTCTCAGACCCAGTGTGCAGAGCAGGGACAACCTGGAAGGTCGGGGAGGATCAGGTCAGGGACACAGCTGCACTGTCCCTAGCCGGCCCTGCTAATGTGCAGAGAGCTGCGGTCCTCAGGAAATTTATAGAACAACTATACAGCAGGACCCAACGGGAGCGTCTTAAATCAGCTGTTTAATAT